GTTAACAAAGGTACTGTTGCTGGACAGCGAGCCCTTAGACCAAATTCCCTCAACCTTTTCCTCACGGTAGATGTGCTTAAATTCTACTACGGTAGAAATAGTAATTAAAGTAACAATTTGTACAGATTTATCAAATTTCTCAGTCATAGTTTTTAATTTAAAAATTGCACAAGTTTACTCTTCGGACAATTGTACACTAGTGAAAGGTTTTTGAAAAACAGAATAGCCATATTCCAAGAATAATAAGGTACAAACAACACGTGCATTATCCGAAGTCGTAAAACTGATATCAATTCTGCAAACTTATTACCCTTAATTGACCTGTCAGCACCGCTTGTCGGTGCCTAAAAGACGCTAAAAGTGCTGCTGTATTTTGGGAATTTAGTTACAATAGAATAAATTCTATAAACTTAAAGTTATTCGAAAACTTCTTACGCAATTCTAGGTGGCCTCTTTTTCGTGACGCGCAGTATATATATATATATATATATATATATATATATATATATATATATATATATATATATATATATATATATATATATATATATATATATATATATATATATATATATATATATATATGTATATATATATATACACATTTGTAAATTTTTTTACGGAATGTAGGATTTTTAATACAGTATGTCAGATCCCCCGATTTGCAATTAACCGGTGTAAATTTGAGTACGCGATGTTTTATAATTAATTCATTATGTGTTCGACTGGAGTTCCTCTCCAGTCGATATCCTACTACCGTACCTTCGCAAACGATCATCGTCAATCCATGCTGCGATGTGTGTTGCCAACCGGAGGGAAATTTCACTTTTTGCGGGAATTTTTGACATAAAAGGGAAAGAGGGAAAAACTTAACTCAAAAGGGAATATTAAAGTTACTCCAGTGCAAATTGTAAAATATTTTTAAAAAGAATTCAAAAGAATATTTGAAAAGAATTTGTAACGGGTAGCTCTTTCAGGACGACAGACTCAGTAAAACACAGGTTAAAATAAAAATATGTCTATTGATCTAATATATGTACAATATATATGAAAATAAAATAAAATAAATCCTGTGCCGTAGAAATTAACTCTGCGCTCCGTCTGGATCCCGCGATGAATGAATCCCCGGCGGACGCCTATAAAAGAAAGAAAGGAAATAATTATTAATAACAAATAAAATAGGTGTAGTCAATCGCACTCAGACGTATATTCGCTTCCGCTTCAAACCAGCGGGAGCTGCGAACACACTCGTCAACTACAAAATCGCTTATGCAGGTCCGCGATAAAGTTCAAGACACGATATCGGTAGACTTTGCTTAATTATGGACGGAGCATGAACTTCAAAGCAGAACTACCTCCGTCCGGGTGGGCTCGCCAGTTCAGGACACTGGCGAAGAGAGGAGCCTAAGGCGCTAAGCTAAAGACTGAATAAATGCCGCTATTCATATGCCTTAAATAGTTGCTCTGAACCCCACTCACATCGTGCTAAGGAGGTGGAAGCGCCAACGCTGACACTCCTACGGTTCAAGCTGTTGAACGGTGATGACATCGTTACAAATTAAACATATCTTCATCCCCTGGTAGTAATTGAAATGTTCCTAATGTTCTATTTCGTTATTCTTAATCATAACAAAACACTTAGTGTCGGTGGGGATAGTGTCGGCAATTAAAATAGATGACGGCGGGGATCATCAGAGATCGAAGTTGACATAGTTGCCAAAATATAAAAAAATCTTGACTCCATTTTAAATCAAATAGACCACATAATTATTGCAAAAGTATTACCATCTCTTTACAACGACTATTTAAATTCTTACGTGACATTTTTGAAATAAAACACACTAATTTTGTTCTAAAAAGAACAGATTTTATTAAATAGGTAAAAATATAAAACAAGAGATATTCACTTTAAAATTCAAAATAATAAAGTACAAAAAGTGTCAACACCGTAACTGTCAAATAAGTGTTACCAATGTATGCCAAAATTTCACCTTCGTTCGATTACAGTTACAGTGTGTTCCGAACAAATGTTCTTCATAAAAACGCTTTATAATGTATTTATACATATTAAATGAAACATATTATTGTGGCTTTCCTTAAGTTAACATTAATAGAAATTTTTAAATATTATTTCTACGCGTATATAATAAAATATGTCTAGTGGCTGTAATGCCAGTATACTCGGCAAAGTGATTCTAAAAAAGAACACACCTACCGCCTAAATATTTCGTGTTGGTATCATGTGACATCACGGGCTATGACGCCGATGACGTGCATCGGTATGTAAATTAGATGAAGTGTAGGTACTTATTCCAAATAAGTACCTACCAAAATATAATAAAACTTAATGAAGGCTGATGTAAGCACGTGTCCCAATAATTTCGTCTTTATTTATTAGGTACTTTAATAAAATTTCAATTATGGTTATTTGAATACAGATTGTAGTGGAAGTGGGAAACCCACAGAAATTGTCTTATTTGGTACTTTCTGTAAAAAGTGTTACTTCTTAATAATTATTGGCGTTTAGAACAGGGTATAAGTATAACTAGTGATAGTGAGGCTAATATAGTCATCAAATAAAAAAAATTAAAATAACCAAATCTAAAGAAAAAACATTTAATGTTAAGTGATTAGAAGCTCCTTCTTTTAAGATCGGGGTAAGGCTTTGCCACATAATAATAAAAAATGTATGTGGAAAGTGTGTAATGCAGAAATTGTATGTGGCAAAAGTAAACTGCAAAAACATGCTGCAGGTAAGAAACATTCAAAAAATATGACTGCTATTAAATCTAGTTCTATAGTAATAGTAACTATTTTCTCGTTTTTGGCAACTGGTAATACTTCTTTAAAATACCAAAATTCCGTGAAAGGCGCCAAAATAAGGTTAAGTGTCTTTTTTGCTGAACATAACGTGGCTAAATATACACATTCTTACATTTCTGTTATAAAAACCATTTTGTAAACGGGAGGAAATGTTTTCATAAAAGTGGGAATTTTTAAGATAACTTGAGGGAAAAAGCTTGCAAAAGGTTGTCAACACTTCAAACGGAACATAACTAGAGTGCATGTCAATTCGCCAAAAAATGTACATTTTTACGTAGATATGAAATTAAAAATATTATTTAACTAAAAAAATTGTTTTATTACCAAAATGGCTTGAAAAAAAAAATAGATTTCTAAAAATAAAAAGGAAGTTCAAAAATAAAATAGTAATAAATATTCAAAAACAAAAATTTAACGTAATCGAGGTTAAAATATTCCACCTCTTTCTGCAGGGCAAAAACTTTCGGGCTCTTTTAAAACCATGTCGATAAATCCTTGCTTTAAAATATCTCCAAAGAAAAAAATCATTTGGGGATAAATCTGGTGATCTAGGAGGCCACTTGAGCTTACCACGAGAAGAAATTAATTTATGTTCAAAAATGGTTTTTAAATAATTTTAAACTGCACGTGTATTGTGAGCAGGACAGCCGTCTTGACGAAACCAAATATCATCAAAGTTGACAGGAAGTAATTGAACTGCCGGAATAATTTGATTTTGTAACAATTCTAAATATTTATTGCCCGTTAAATTTCCATCAATAAAAAATGGACCGACGACCTAGTCCGCAAAATACCTATCCAAAGATTAAGTTTTTGGTGATATTGTGTTCGTACTGGAATACTTAAGTGTTATTATGCCGAGACCAATATCGTACGTCGGAATGATTATGTTTCTGATGTAATGAAAATGTCGATTCATCGGCAAACAACGTTTTTTTAAAATATTCATTTTCATTTTGTTTATCTATCATGTGCTCACACAATTCCATGCGTTTGAAATTATCCTCGGCTAATAACTCTTGAGTAGTTAAAACTTTAAAACAACGGTAACCGTTTCGTTTCAAAATATTCCCGAGAGTTCTATTATTCATGCCAAACACCGATTTCCCTATTTTGCCGAACTTCCTTGATTGTTTTCTATCGTGGTAGATTCGTACATTTTTGACAGTTTTGTATATAACCAAACGATTCAAATTTTGTTATTTTACGACTAATAGTTAATTGTGTCGGGATTGGCCTATCTCCATAGGCACAAGTAAATAAATTTATAATGTCACGGTACGAGTTGCCCACCAAAATACCATTTTAAAATTGGTACTTTTTTCGTTTTTATACATGGTTAGAAACACTACTTTAATTTAGGCTTGTGGCATTATAATGAGAAGGAGAAGCAAACATGTTTGCTCGGCCAGTCATTTTCCGTGAAACTATTTGCCAAATAGGTAGATACCTCCGGCAAAAATCGGTAGATCTCGGTATATCATATACACCCTGTTGAATTTGAAATTATAAACAATATTTGGAATAATAAATGTATATAATAAGTATAAATTTAACAATTCAAATAATAACTAATGAACATAAACAAAATTGATGTTAATAAAACATTATTATTATCTGCACAAAAATACAGAATTATGAATATCCCAAACGGAGTTTCAGGAAAAATCGGTAGACGGAACATCACTATCCGCCTGCCACATACGCTACTACAAAGCGCAAAGGAGATGCAATCCAGTGGAACAAATAAATTGGATATAAAACGTCGCGACATTATATTGAAATTTACACTTGTTAATTCCAAATCAGAGAATCTGAGTTACTGTATTAAAAATCCTATGTTCTGTAAAAAAATTCCAAATATGTATATTTAAGATATAGTAAAGTGATTCATTGACTGGCCCAGCGCACCTGTAAGTTTACATCAAGGGCCAAATTCATTTAATAAAATTTATCTGCCATGTGTTAAAACTGGGACGACAAGGAACGTGTTAATCTCATTTTTCCCTAAACGCATGAAATGGGCATTACTTTTTTGTTTTACCAAGCCTCTTATGTAGTATATACTAAATGAACTAAACTTAACATATATTGTATATATGTTTCAATAATGTATTGCAACCCATAAAATCTGATAAAATTTGATTATAAACAATTATACTTAACTATACTTTCAGGTCCCAACATCGAGATATTCAAACCTATCAAAAAGTGGCCAGTGAATATATAATTGGATGCTGTGTTTTTACCAAATACAACAATAAAAACTACATTGTCGATGATATTGTTTGGGACCAAACCCCACAAAATACTTTTCCTACAAGGGACGGAAACAATATTTCTTATGTCGAATATTATAAAAATCAGTATAACATTACTATATCAGACTACGATCAACCCTTGTTAATTAACAAAAAAGAGGTACCGGTACAGGGATCCGAACAGAAAGTTGAAAGAGTGGTTTGCCTCATTCCCGAAATTACGCATCTTACCGGACTCACAGATAACATGAGGAGTGATTTTAAGGTATCTTTTTTTTTTGTTAATACTTCGATATGTAACAAATATATATTGTGAATTTATTAATATTTTCGCGTTATGTGAGGTCTGTAAACGCACAATCAGGTATCTCATTGCGAGCTTTTAATACCAGCATGTATTTATTGTGCTAAGACCTTATCTGGCGCTAAATATATTCATCGTATCCCGTAATCAATAAGTCTTTATCTCATATTTATTCGTTAAACAATTTAAAACAACATAACTAAATCCAAATCTGAAGCAAAATAACATTTTACTTTAGATTTGGAAAAGTGCACCCTACACCACCATACTGATTTTATTCACCTGACTCATTTAGAACAGAGAAATCCTTATTTTTAACTTTAGCTCTAATATTTCTGCAGTATTTTATATCTCCAATGCAATGCCTTCTCTACGATTCTCTTTTTGCCCTTCTCAGTTTCTTAATATATTCAGTCAGAACTTTTCAATAATAGCCCCAACCACTTTATCTTTTGGCAAAATTAAATTTTCGTTTGTAAGGTTGTCATTTTACCAAGATACTTTTCTCTTGGAATCCCTCACTATCTCCAGACAATTGTCTTCAAACGCCGACATGAAAATTTTTTTAAATTGTTCTAGGTCCAGTGTTGCCTTATTCTTCCATTAACCCTGTCTAAACAATATTCCTGGTTTTCCATGTGTTCCGTTAGTACAGTTTTTGGTTTTTTACCAATTGTTTTCTAGTGGGTTGACATTTGAGTTTGGTCCTAAAAACTCTCAACTTAATAAAATGCTAAGATATGTCATGCGGAAACGCAGTTTGTCCGGGACGATAACTCCTAGCGCCACCTAGGAAAGAAATCTGAATTACCAATTGCCGTTTCAAATTACTGAGTCAATCATATTGTGTTCTTGAAACGATACGTTTAATTATTAATACTATTAATATAATTAATAATATGATTAAATTTTTCTTAAAATTGCCAAAAATATTGGTTACTGTAACTTTAAGGTAAGATATATTAAGCAAAATAATTTAAAGCTTTATAATCCACTAGGAAACTAAGTTCCTGTTGGTGGCTGTATACCGTGTAACACATTTTTTTTTATTTCAAATCCTTTATAAAAGGTATATAATAAAATACCCAAACGGGCTATATCACAATTACATTACAGAACGTTTTCGGGATGTAAATTCCATCATCAGTGTAACGAAGTATACATGCTATGAGCCACTAAAAATATATGTTCAAGTTACCGTTGGAATTGGTAACATGGCGACGTATGACTCTACATAGGTTACATGGTCCTGAGACAAAGTGTATTCAAGGACCTGTGAGAAAACTTGATTTGGACGCAGAAAGCAGTTGTACGAGTCGATGGGAAATTAGCCGAGGAATATTACATTCAAAGAGGCGTCAAACGGGGATTTATTCTATCTCCGCTGTTATTTAATATCTACTCAGATATAATTTTCAAACAGGATTTGCAGGATAAAGACTTTAAAGTGTGAGTGAGTGAAAATAAAAAGTGAATTGATTAATAATCTTAGATACGCTAACAACATTGTTATTTTAATGGTTATTTTCCAGAGCCTTCAAGAGTTATTGGATTGTCTAAACACGACAGGAAGTGTAATGAGTCTAAAAATAAATGCTTCTAAGACAAAATTTATGATATTTAGCCGCCAACCTCACGACAGTACTTCCCTACAGATAGATCAACAAAACATTGAGAGAGTCACTTTAAATATCGTGGATGCTACGTTACAGATCAACTAGATCCAAGTAAAGAGATCGCAAGCAGAGTTAAAACAGTTCTCACGTTTCTAAAAATGAAATCATTCATCTGTAACCAAATCATCATCATCACTTATGCTACAGCCACAGAATAATAAACAAACAGAATGCCCACTCTCCACGGAAAATTAAGTACGCGCATCTCCTTCGCGCAGACGTTCCGCCATGTTTTACGAGGATTTTAAAGGGAACCAGTGTTGTTTATGTGGTGTGCATGGAAAAAAAACCAGGTTTATTTAACTTACGGCAATCATAGACATACTATGCAATTATATTAACAATTTTAAATATAATAACATAAATATAATATAATTAAACATAAATGTAAACAATTGCATAACCTCACAAATCATATGTTTGTGTCCTCCTAAAACATGGCGCGCGTGCTGAAAAACTTCAAAGGCGGCATCTTTTTCATTTCATAATATTTTTATGAAAGATATTACATGTCTACCATTAACTGTTTCTTTATATTTCTCGTACAATTCGAAATTATATCGCCTTCTCCAAATACCATTCTTACAGATTGTACCCATTATTCTTTCTTTTTTTCTGTTTTGGAGATTGTCCATGGTTGGAAATGTATCTGACTTATATGTCAGCATTGGAGGGTTGAGTGTTATATTGTTAGTTTGACCACATATATTCTGTAACCACAGCTTAAACCTAACATTACGTCAAAGAATGACCAAATATAGGAATGATCAAATGCGGTATTTGGTTAGTGTTGTTGTATGGCACCGAGACCTGGACTCTGAAGGCTGATACGATCAATCGCCTAGAGTCTTCTAGATGCGCTATTTTCTCATGGCTGTTGCTCAAAAATATGAAAAATGTATTCAAAGTTTAGCTTAATATTTTTCGGTTAGCTTTTCGTAATATCTTTAATTGATTAGGAGAAAATGGAAAATTCAAGTCCAAACGTAATGTAGAACAACCTGAACAAGTATCAGATCAGGAAGGCGACATTTTAGTGAAAATTGTGGATAACTCTGAACTAAGCACTTAATATTTATATCAAAGGGAATCCACTTTTCTATTTAACGAATACTGGAATAGGAAAATCTAAAGTATTGCCATTTTATCCATGTTCAAATGATCTTCCTCTGCTATTTAATTTTACTCATTGAACCGTAAATAATAAATAACAGAAAGTAGTAACTTCATTAAAAAATCTTTTGCCAACGAAACAATTTTCACTTTCACCAACGAAACAATTTTCACTTTTAGAACAGCTGTTGGTATTATGAAAACCTCAATTTATTTCGATTTTGTAAATAATTTATAATTAATACGATATGTGCCTAGTTAAATAGTAATGTCAAAAACTAAGTTACTTTAGCTGTATAATTAAACTAACAATTTTTGCATTTATATCAGGTGATAAAGAATAATATATTTTATAATTTTGATTGTAATTTTAAACAGGTTATGAAAGATGTCGCTCAATTTACGCGAGTGACACCAAACCAGAGGATAGCTGCATTAAGAAAATACCTAGAGAACGTGAATAGGAACGAAGAAGCAAAACAAATTTTAGCGGATTGGGGTCTGAGAATTGCAAACGATACATTAAATGTGAGTGGTCGAAAATTAGACAATGAAATAATTTATTTCGGACAGAATCAACAGTTTCAAACGAACAATAGCGCTGATTGGACGCGAGCATCGGGGGAAAATCAGGTAAATTTCTTCACTAGTTTGTTTAATTAAACATATCATTTAACCCTTCAAAACCCAGACTAAATTAACTATGTAGAGAAGAATCACACCAATCCGGCACTATTGCACTATTAGAAACCACAAGGTGCCAGATTGTTGGAATGTTATGATTACTAGATTGTACAGAAAAATTCATAATAAATAAAAAATAGCATTTCATAAAGGGAATAGGTACAACCTATGTATTTGTGTTCATGATCTACACTTTTTTTATAACTAACATATCTCACATTTAACTAAATATGTACTTAGTTTTAAATAATCCTCAATTGACGTTTCATTTGTGCAACTTGTAGTTCACTGCTTTACATATTTCTTCATCTGTCGTAATTTACTCTGTTTCTTCGGTCCCTCCAAACTAAGAATTTAATTCTTTTTGACTTGTCTCGAATTCTTATTGTGATAAATTTTGAAACCAATCGACAATAGGTAGATTCTCTTCAGGATCACATTTTTCTGTTTCTTGTGATACAACGTTCATTGTCGACAGTTTCCAACTTTAAAATTTTGTCACACCTTTGGGACAAAATGACCTTGCTTAACTAAGTTTTGTCTAAATGGTTTTTAGACTAGACCTAGATCTTTATTCCTTCACAAAACTAATAACTTTTCTTTCTCTAATAATACAATTCCTATTTTTTTCTTATATATTAATGTTTATTTGCCTTAATGTTCTCAATAATACACCTCGTGATATTTTGGGTGTCAAATCGTCAAAATTTATTTCGGCTGCGACTTTCTTCAAGATTGGAATTTTATTTCGGAAAAAGAAAGAATAACTTTTTAACATACGTATCCGACTTACCTTCACTTTGTTTGAATTGCTTTAGAATCCTGTGAAAACTTCTCGTAGACACTTTAAACAAATCACTACACATTAACAATGTTATTTACCAACATAATTTCATTCCTTTCAAGGTGTCCACAATACTCGTAGTATAAAATAGGTTTTTCACCTATCGAAAAATTTTGCAGATGTCCTTTTCTTTGACTACTTTCACCTTCTATATTTGTCAGAACGCTATAAAAACGGGTTAACCGCTTCAGGTCAGATATAGTATAGTTGTTTTGTATAAAACTTAAGAGGTCGCTGGTTAAATGGTATTAGATAAATAATAATGAAGAAAAAATGCAATATTTTATTTGTAAATAAATTAGCGAAAAATAGCAAATACAACTGTAAATATATTACGAAATTAACTAGCCATACTTATTATCGTTGTCTGTACAAAGAACTTAGACTTACCCTTTGAAATATTGAAGTCGTATTTTAGCCAGTGGAATCTCGTTACCACGACGGGACGCCCGCCGAGGCTCGATGGCTCGAGAATCGATAAAACTATAATATGTGTTTCGTTCGCTGTCTTGGGATGAAGTGATTGTGTCTTTAGATCGTCAGGTCAAAAACCACCCTCTAACCGTTACGTATGGTCTGTATACCAAGAGGGTAGTATACCAATAAATCACTCTATTATATTGCGATTTTGAGTGGCGATAATTTAAGTTAATTGTCACGGTAATACGAAACTTTACACTGGTGTGTATATTTGTGACCCAAAATACAAAAGAGAAGCCAAATTCTCCGCACTTAAAACATAATAAATGAAATAACCAGTTTAATAATATATGAAATAACAGGAAGCAATATATTTTAACAAAGTCGTTAGAATACAGCATTGAATTAGATCACATTAAAGTACACTAAAAGAAAAACATTAAGGCCCGATTGTACATTGCAGGCTTAAGCGATCGCTTAATTGAACCGGCCTCAAATTTGAGCGTGGGTTCAACTTCATGAAGGTTGTTCAATGGCAAGTTTAGTTAAACCAAGGCTCATACAAATTTTGATAAGGTTGGCAACGTAACGCATGCGTATTCATAAGGTTAAATATCAATTTTCCCGCTAATTTTATATTATTTAGTTTTTGAACGGTTTTTGTGAATACAAGTCCACTAATAATTCTGTTATTTAATATTAGTTTAATTTAATTAACTAGTTTAATTTTTAATCATTTCCCTAAGTTAAATTTATGCACAAACCAATTGAATACTCACGTAAAGTTCTTGCAATATGTTTATTTTCATGTGAAAAATTGTTTTTAGAAGTATATTTTTTATATTTATTTGGATTTTTTATTTTATCAGCAATATTTTGATGTAAATAATGAACTGTATCTTTAGATAACCTAAATCTTTGCAATAATTCATTATCATTCCATTTTTCAAAATGATTATCTCTGGTCCTAAATTGTTTTTGTGTTCTTCTTACATCTACAATATTTATCATTTCCAGAAAATCTTCATCGTCAGTTAAATTTTCAAAGTTATTCATTTTTTATAATATAACACTACAGTAACAGATAATTATTAAGCTTTCTATTGACAATTACACACAAATAAAAATATGTGAGGTTAAAAATGCCTGAGCTGACGTTGAACCGTCAAACGTCTATCGCTCAGTAGAACCCATGTTTAAACCGAGCTCAAGAATTAAACTTTAGATGTACAACCCACTTCATGCGTTAAACTCGGTAATGGCGCTGAGCTTGAGTTGAGCTACGAATGTACAACCGGGCCTAAATGTAAAAATATGACAAGAAATAAATAGTACATACTTTCCCAAACAATAGTAATGGTGTTTTTCAATGTACATCAGTAATAGCCACATTAAAGTCGTTATCAATAAACCAATTTTTGGTAAACTATTTAACGAAAACCATATAAACAATTGCATTTGGAATTTTAAAGAAGCATACTAAAGTATCTAATGTTGAATCATTTGACATTCCAGGGATATTGCATCAATTACAAAGTTTATAATTGATGCAATAATTTCACTCAATGATTCTGATAAATTGATTTTGATAAATTTGATTATTTTTGTTTAATTTGAACATACTGGATGCATATTTTGGCTTTTTGTTAGCTCATATAATCCGGTGTCTAAATTATTCAGTTGACTTATAGTCGATTCCACATGTTTGTTTAGAAATTTCTTAGTACTAGGGAGAGAATAGTAGTAGACTTTAAAGCACTTACGCATTTCTTAGCTTTTTAAATTTATTTTGTAGGTGACAGGACCAGTTGATATGTACAATTGGATAGTGTTTCATACAGACCGAGACAGAAAGTATGCGTATGACTTTGGAGATTTAATGTGTAGGCTAGGAAATGTAATGGGGTGTCACATTAGTAAACCGAAAATGGTTAAACTTCCCTCCGATACAAACGAAACTTACATACAAGCTTGCCAGCAACATATTGATAAAAATGTTCAGGTAAGTTGAATTTATCAAATAAAAATTAACTAACCGGTAACTACATATCGTGTGATATTTATTAATGAATACATATTTTTCATTGTCTTCAATGAGAGTCGACAACAATTTCAGTTTAAAATATGTTTATTTTGACTTTTCTATTTCCACTTCGAAAATCGTTGACAAAATACAAATTAAACAAATTATTTTGTTTTGTTACTTGGTAATAAAAAAATATTTTTCTAATAATTTAATCTGCCTCATTCATATTGACAATTCATGCATATATTATACATTTTAAAGTATAGGTGTACACAAATAGCTGAAACTTTCACGGTCATTCAATCCATAATTCGAGGAGTGGAGTATTCAGTTCTATGAAAGTGAGAGAAGCGTAAAAATCCATTTACTTAACATTAGGCACTAATTTTAGTCGGTTTTCAACATTGCCAGATAACTTCGTAATTCGTGAAATAGTCGTTTGTAGAGTTTTGAAGTCGTTCGTAGAAGCTTGTGAAATCATATACTCTGTTTTAAAATTTACTAAACAGGAAGCAGAAGGAAATGCACTTCTTATTGAGTCATTTAACGTACAAGAACGGTAAATTGATTATATATTTATATTAAAAAATATATATTATTGTTTTGCAAACTTAGATTACAATTTTTTTGTTATAAGTCAAATATAAAAAGAGTTGCTGTTATGTAAAGATATGAAATAATCGAATAAGAGGAAAAAGTTTATAATATTAAATGTTTATAGATGTCAATTTGTCCAGAGTCAAAAAAATCGTTAAACAATTTCGTGAGGTTGAAAATGGAAAAACTCTTGAATTCTCCACACCTAATATACGACAAAAAAGTCTTTAAAAATACAGCTAGATACACGTGACCAAGATATATTATCAACGAGTTCTCACAATTGAAAAAATTCATCAGAATTTTTTAAACGAAATGAATTCTGCAGGAAGTAGAGAATGTAAAAGAAGGAAATTTCACAAACTTGGATTTCGCTGGAAAAAAACAGTCGACAATAAAAAAATGTTGATAGAGAAACATAAAATTAGACATTTAAGTCTGCAATACCTAAGGAACATCAAGGAAGCAAATAAATTTATAGTTTGTTTTTACTGACGAGACTTATCTATTAATGAGTCATATTTCAAGAAACAATTGGTATGATACCAGTAATAATGGACTTATGAAAAAGTTTTATTACTGCTAAACTTAAAAAATAATCAATATACTGCTTCTATGTTGAGACCTGATCTGTATAGCATACTAAAATTGGATAAACCTCGTTATGTAAAATATGCAATCGATAAAATTATACGAATAAAAGGACATGGACTCCCATCATATCATCCATATTTGAACCCTCTTGAAATGGTTTGGGCAGCTTTGAAATCATATGTTGGAACCAGAAATGTAGACTTTACATTTAAGTCAATACAGCAATTATCGGACGAATTTTTTCAAACATTTCCTGTGGAAGCATCGAAAAAAATAAATGAACGAACAGTGATCGCAACTGAACGCGAGTTAATATTAAAATAGACACTAATTGATGTAGTCGTGGATATTGTTATCAATGTACACGAAGGTTCAAGCAGCGAAGATTTTCAATCAAATTCGGATAGTGCAAATGGCGATGTTGATAATATACAATTACCGTTTAAAGCAATTTATTTTACCATCGCAATTCTCACTATGAAAGAAATTTAGCTTTCTAATTTAATAGACTTTTGTTCATTCATTTTAATGATTATGAATAATAACTTATCTCAAACTTTTAAATTCTCTCGTTGGTAATTCGATTGTAAATCATGAGGAAAACCCAGGGAAAAAACCCACAATACTATCTTGGCATGATAAGTATTTGGCCTTACATTTAATTTACCCTCAATAATAACATAAAACCAAATCTAATAACTAACAAGAAAAAACAAAGGATTGTATTTACAAAATAACTTAGGTGAAACATCAAGACTATTAAATTTTAGAATGTGTTAACATAAATCTTATATCCAAAATCAAGAATTTTATCGATCTGATATGTAAACACGCATGGGAAAATGAACATAGCCTTCAGTGGAACAATTCATGTATAGTCTTGAAAGAAACATATGGTAAAAAGAGAAAAATCAAAAAAGCTTTTTCTATTATGTTAAATCAAATCACATTTGTCGCAAATTTCTCGGCATAATGGAGTAGTATCTGGATACCAATATTAATGAAGAAATCAAAAGGAAATACCACTATTAGTAAGTCAATAAAATATCGAGAATACATAATTAATGTTTTAAATGAAATATATGTCACATACATGTAAGACTAATTAATTACCATGTCAGGATAGTATCATGAGTTTTTTCCCTGGTTTTCTCCATGATTTACAATGGAGTTAATAGCGGGAGAATTTAACTGTCGCGATTAGGCGAGATTCTCATTTTAAAGAAAAATCACATGCTATGATATTTCTGACAGATATTCTCAAGTTAAAGTTAATTTGATGTAATTGAATAAACTATCTTCGAATAAAGTCGTCTTACCAACGCACCTCAAAAATATTGACAATATCATTTTAAAATTATCTACTTTGAAATATATGTCTGAATTGTCAATATTAGCAGAATTTGTTTTATATTATCTTCTTTTTAACCCTTTCAGACCCGGTGTCCATTGCAATGGACATACATTTACATAACCCCTACAACAAAATTAAACTTTTGTAAATTGCTAACAACTACAATTTTTTTATATTCGCCAGAATGATGATGAATCGATTTAATAATAGATTCGATAATTTATTTGATAATCGATTTAATTTGATAATGATTCGATTCGATTACATATTTGATTCGCTTCGATAATCTATTCGATTCGATTCTTCAAGAAGTCTCAGTTCATATTACATTTTGACATATTTTTATTGTTTTTATTAAGTGGTTTGAAGCATGGTGCTCAAATTTTGTTTTCGTAAGATCCCCATTTTTAACTCTTTCAATTGTCACTAGCGTTTCTTCAGTTGTAATAACTACTTGCATAACTACTAATTTCATGTTGCACAAGGGAGGCGTTTAAAGAAGTGATCGCCAACCTTCGTTAGATGACGGCAAAATAAAAAGAAGAATAACTACTCTAAATTAACTTGAATAAAGATTAAGCCAGTGAAAAACAACGCACAAAAAAAAAACGACTTAACCAGAATTTCAATTAAAGTGGTTACGGTTAAGCTTTCACTACGCTTTTTGTTATGTGGAAAGCCCCTAGGAATCGTTTCGGGTTAACGGTATTTTATTTAAAAGGATTTTGTCATGAATAGACGTCATGAAAACATTACCTTACTTTAAAATTATTTCCCGCTTTGTTAAGTACTACAAGATATTAAGATAAAATTAAAATATAAGCTATTTAATAATAACGATTTGTTTGCTTCAGATTGTAGTATTCATTTGCCCAACGATGCGGTCAGATCGATATGGACACATCAAGAAAATGTGTTGTTCGCAGATACCAGTACCTTCTCAAGTGATAAATTCTAGGACTCTTTCAAATCCACAAAAAGTAAGATCTATTGTTCAAAAAATCGCGCTTCAGATGACCTGTAAATTGGGAGGAACTCTTTGGACGGTAAGATTCCCCTTCAAAGGTTGGATGATCTGCGGAATTGACGTTTATCATGGAAAAAGGTCCAGCTCAGTCTGTGGATTCGTTTCGAGTCTCAATGAAAGTGTGTCAAGGTAATAACAGTTAATAACTTTTTATAATATTACAATCTATTTGGGGGTTTTAAACGTTGAATAACTTGCTTATAATTATAGTATTATTTATAGTATTATAGTATTATTTAATTTGGAACCTGTTAGTATTATATGGGCGATTCGTATTTAGAACTGTAAGCCATAAAATTCAAATGCCGGATCTTTAAGGTATCGACTTTTAACAAAAAATTAGGTGTTAGTTGTAAATTCGGTCGTAGAAAAGTTACCTGTAATAATGAATTGTTTGCATAGATAGATAAATAGATTTAGAGAGGTGGCATTTTGGCCTATTCCACTACGACTGCGACGAAGGTTATCTAGTCCTAGATAATATTCTCTAGCCCGACCCTTTTTAAAAAGTCTAATAGCTTCGAGACTGTAATTTCCATGTAGCTATTTGCTGGTGGATTTTCTTCTAATGGAAAGAACCGCATATTTGCCACTCTCACACTGACATAGAATGTACTCTGCTGTTTCTTCTTCCAGGTAACAGAATCTGCACAGCTCATCATCTGATAATCCCATCAGCTTTAAGTGCATATTCAGCTTACAGTGCCCTGTTAAAAGACCTACTATGGCTTTGACTGTCGTCAAATGTCAAATGTCGTCAATGTCGTACTTATTAGGTCTGTCGTAAATTTTGGCGAATGTTCTGTAATGAACTGTTTCGCCTGTCTAGGCGAAAAGAGGTTTTCGTGAGCTACCCACTTTCTTGTATCCGGTCTTGTTACTGTCTTTGCAACGCCGCAAAAGGGTTCCGGTCCAATGAATAACATTGATGAGCCTTGTTTGGCCATTTCATCTGCTTTTTCATTGCCCTTATGATCCTGGTGCCCCAGTACCCAGGCTACTGTAACCTTGCTACGGTCTCATAGTTTCTTTAGGGCACATACACAATCCCTGGCACATTGGTAGCTGAGAGAATGTTAGTGTTACCATGTTCGAAGAGATGGCCGGTTCTAGATCTGTAAACATTCTTTCTTCCGTGGGTCCGACACACACTTCGACATTAGTCCTTATGTGTCAGCTCCATTCGGAGAAGGTTGTTCCTCTTTCTGAACCTCCATATGTAGGGAAGCTTCCCCTATTTCACTGAAATGAGTTGCTATTGGCTTTTCATTCCGGATTTTTTTCTTGCCTTCTTTGGGTCAGAACGTTGACCGTCCTACTCCGAAAAAGGGTGACATTTTTAATTTCTGAAGTTCTTCTCGAGATTCAGAATCCATCGAGAAGGTCCATAACACCTCTTTGTCTGAAGGTTTACTACCCCAGACTGTCCATAGATGTTTCCTGAACCCATGGTTACTTATCCTTAGTCTATTAAGGATCCTTTTGGACTTAAGGCGTTCCCCATATTCGTCCTGTGCGAAGACAGTGCATGAGTGCGGCTTGGGTATATCTTCCCCCTCCACAGCCCTGAGAGATGCACTCTCCCAAGGTCTTAGGGTTGGAATCACCTCCTTTAGTCACCGCGTCACTGTATCTGCACAGTTAAGTTCCATGAAACCAGGTCTGTATGTACTCTTCAGGAAGCGAACCTGTTGTCCTGTTTTCGGATATTTGTCACACGCACCCAAGATGGCTATTTTGACTGACTTAAGCTTATCTACATCCATCTTGGCTTCCGGGAATCCTGTTAGTACCTCTGCAACCTTAACAGAAGCGGCAGCTTCGCTCAAAGTCACACCTTCGGTTCTTGGCTTTTTCCCTTTGCATTGGCTTTCGGGTGGTGTGCTTCCGTCTGACCTTATCCTCTTTGGGCCTTCGGTCTTCTGAGTTTGTATTACTTGTTTTGTCATGGTATTTAATGTCTTCGACGGCATCTCTTTTGCCCTTTTAGCCGCCTTGATGAAATTGGCCTTTTTTACAGCCCTTTTGGCTTGAAAGTAATCTTGAGCTTGTTTCATCAGCCTACTGATTTTGGCTTTAGGGATGCAGATAGCTTTGCAGCATTAATTTCTTCATCTGTCATGGGATCAACGTCTTCCAACGCTGTTACTCTGACAGCCTTTTTGTTTCCTTGCCTATCAGCTTGGAAAATTTCTCTAGAAATTCGTTGGTGTAAACTGTGATTTTGGCTCTGGGGTTCCCTGGCCCTCTTGACTGGGAAACTCTTTGGTTATTTTGGAGTTTTTACTATACCTGTAGCTACCCACGAGTAGCTGGGTAAAGACAGTCAAATCCTCGCAGAGCCCCGCTTGCGAGCGTAAGGTCTAAATACTAAGGGGTGCCACCTGTTGCCCTAAAAGAACCGTTTGCGACACTGTTGCCCCAGTGCTTTACAGCCTTCACCACGGTGTCTCACTGCTTGGCGATGTCGATTGTTTATCGACTATCTAGTCTAGATCCGCTGAGTCTAGTCTCAACAGAGCCACCACGTGAAGGGTGCAACCAAAGATTTATTACACACCCCTAATAATTGTTGAGGGTACCCAGCGGTCTTGGGATGGTTTAAGGAGGTGCAAAGTCCTAAGACTCTCCGTGCAAAACTCGTCCCCTGAGAAAAGAGCGCGTCCCCGGCCCCAATTGTTTGTATATATGAGTTCGTTTTCAAAATAGGTTATAGAAAAGACAAGTCCCATTTAAAGTTACTTAACTACTAAAAAATTGATATTAGTTATAGAATATAAAATATAAATTATGGCAGTACTAAGTTTATATTGAATATGTTAATATGGTATAAGTTGTCACGAAAAAGTTGACAACAGTTGATAACAAAAAGCTTTTCTTACACAATACTCAACGAAGACTACGTTGCTCAAGTCAGAAGGCATTATTGGGGTAGGTAAAGTAAAAATATAGATATAGGTGGTAAAAAATTGTAGGTCAAAAACAGATATATAACGGATAGATAATAAATAAATAGGTAAAACGAACGCCAGAAAACATAAATCAGCAAATTATCGACAAAAAACTATAAAAATTAATATATATAACAATAAGCTACAAGAAAAGATTATAAATTCAATAAAATAGTGTAGAATAGTTCTTATATTATCTTCTAAAACAAATTTCAAATAATGTATATGGTCTCTACTCAAAAATAAAAAATGCCGTTTTGCCAATGATAATTCTTCTCAGTGGTACCATTGTTCTCAGTTATACACAATATAATATGAGATTTTATGTAAATTATACAGATACATTTTTAAAAGTTTTAAGTAGCATTTAGCAAGATTTTTACTACCGTCTTTAACAAGAAACTTAGTATTTATAAACACAAATCTTGTTTTATAACACATTTTGAGAAATATTTACGTTTCTACAATTTGATTATAATGTAAAACTGTAGCTAGAGTAATCTCTTAGTGTATGCGAGGAAGCGAAATTAGTTTATGAGGTTTGTTAAGGTTTGGTTAGTAAGTTCTGTTATATTTTAGGATAGTTTAGGTTAGGTTATGCGAGCGAACGAAACAATTGAGATTAGGTGATTAGTTTTCGATTATTAAACGGCGAAAAGAAATAAGTAAGAAATCATATTGTTTACTTATTAGCAATTTTTAAGCAAATAAAATGTTGATTACTTATTTATAAAAAATTATTTAAAATATAAGATTTTTTACTCACACAACAAAATTAAAACTGTGGTGGTTCGTGTAAGCAACAGTGACAGGTAATGGGTTAAAGTAATTTGGGAAGCATTTCTTGTCAAGTAGTCATATATATCAAAGCTTATCCGTATTTTCTTGTGTTACACCCAAAATTTCGGAACTATTTGATGTAAAATTTATCTTTTTTCTGTGTAATTTGTAGATGGTTCAGCACAGCAACGTTCCAGGCAGGAGAGCTTGGAGATTTTATGAAAACAGCATTTATAAAAGCATTAGAAGCAACGCGAAATGCAAATGGCTACTACCCTAAAAAAGTTGTAATAGTTAGAGATGGTGTAGGCGATGGACAACTGACACACTGTCAAAGATACGAAGTGAAACAGCTGGAAAGCTGTTTAAAAGAATTAGAGTTAGACATAAAATTATGTTTTGTGGTTGTACAAAAGAGAATAAGCACCAGGATATTTTCAGTGGGTAAGTGAACTGTTTGTAAGATTGTTCCTATACCTCCCAGTACACATTTCTTATTAGCAATTTTTTAAATTGCGGTTTATTAATATTTGTTTTTTCATACTTATACGTGTCTCTTTTGTTTTGCATACTAGAGCATAGAGGTCGAGACTAACCAAATCTCAGGACCAACTCAGGACATTTTCTATCTTTCCTTATCCTAAATATAAAATTTCAGTGTGATGCGGATAGCTTGTTATAACGAACTGTCAAAGTTGACAAACCAGTCAAAAAATGGAATTAAACCTTAAATATTTTCGCGCAATTATTATTTTTTACACAATTATCTCAATGCGAATCCTCATTTCTTTTTTTTTTTTGTAATGAATCAAGATCGGCCAATAATTTATCTTTTCCTTTACGCACTTCTCTTATTATATCGTCTATAATGAAGTTAAATACTAATTGGCTTAGTGAATCATCTTGTCTGATACCACTGTACAAAACTGTTATCACACCATATACAACGCTGATATACAACCATTCTCATAATTAAGTAGATCAGGCTGAAGCAGACGTGATCATCAACAAACTGGAACAGGCTATGAATGCAATTTCAAGCGGATGTACTACTACAGCTCAATAAAATAATAGCACAGGTTTACTATGGATGAACTGTCTAACGAGTATACCAAAGAATGGATTCTGGATGTGGCGAGAGATATAATAATATTATCGTATGTCATTTTTGTCGGGGAAATCCTTTCGAATTGTTATGAAAATGTCGTTGTTGGTGCCGAGAATCGAACTCGTACGCTCTGGCTTAGAAGACTAGTATCTTGCCTCCGAGCTACGGTCGTCCACCTAGAAGCTATAAAGAGCCTGTTAGAAGGAGCCAAGTCCCAAGATTTGCATAATCGCCCCATGGATTCGGAGAGGTATCTTTCGAAACCATGAGAGGTCTCGATGACTAATTATAGTCTTACAAGCGAACTTCCAGCACAGTAAGGCAGCTTCAGCAGAACTTATTGTTCCTATAAGAAGGCTCTACGTAGTTTTAATACAAGAATCACTAATTTTCCACTTTAAACCATGTCGGCTTACTTAGCAATTAGGACGCTGTTATCAAATCCCTTGACAAAAAACACAGCAAAACGGTGATTAACTCATGGAATTGCTGAATTGATTTTTTGTACTCATAAAGTGTATACCAAAATAAAGGAAATGACAGTTAAGATTTTATTTCACGTATAGTGCCTCTGTATTATTCGCCAATGATTTTTGCTTAGATGAGGAGATATGTTGTGGGATGCAACTTTTAGATCCTCCTTATCTCTACTACATCTTTTAGCATCGTCTGATTTGCCTTGCAAATTTATGGATGGCACAGATTAAAGCAAAAATCTGAATTTTGATTTCGTCCATAGAAATCTTCGGAATTCTACTTTCGAGATTTATTATTAGATCAGTCGCTACGGCGTCAAAATCGAAGCTATTTTATTGTTACTTCCTTTGACGGAAAATATTTTGTATCACGTTTAGGGCTTCTGTACCAGGCGCTCTGATGATTCCTGCTAGGATGAAGTGCGTATAAGCGAATATAAAAAGGCACTATATGTGAAATCAAATCTTAACTGGCCTTTCCTTCATGGATATAACTTAATATAATTATGGAATATCGTGCTACACTTATTATTTCCACCGATATCATTTATTTAGTAGGTGATGCAAGTATTTTGACATATGATTTATGTCATTTCTTTTTAGTAACATTAATTTTAAGTTAGTCTTTTGTTGAAATCTGTTTTTTTTTTTTCGATTTGTAAAGCAATATAATGTCACCAGTCAGACACTGCAGTGAAGTTGAAGTAGTTCAAGCTGTAAGTTTTAAAAATGTATCGCGAAACAGAACATTACAGAAGCAGACTGGGATACGGAAGAAAATAGTGTGCAAGTGCTGCAGAAGACCGCTTTTTAATTGTTCATATCTTACTTATTGACATCTACTCATCTTAAAAATGATTTGTTAAATGCAAACAGGTTAATGTTAGTACTAAAATTCAGACGAATGTTAAAAGATTCTAATCTAAAGCCAAGATGCCATACCAAAGTTCTCTCACAATGACAAAAATTGTCGATTAGAATTTACCAGATCACATATTCAAAGAGACAAATTAGACCTTATAGCTGCAATCCACAGTTCACATTGATCCTTTTTATGATTTTGACGCGGAACTCGATAAAAAGTGAAACCAGTTTTACTTTACCACAACTACTTTTTCTGGTAATATAGCAGTTTGCGATGCAACAAATATTACCTACTATTGTTTAAACCCTTAGTCTCCTGACGGTACTTTTAAGTACCATCGAATTCTGGTACCCTTATATCCCAGGCATAAAATTTAATAATACTAACCACATAAAATTACACCCACGACCATAGTTTTCAGCTGATGTTTAAAACTTCGAATGTTATTCAAACGATTTTGTTTTAAATACACAATAAGGTTTGTAGGTACTCGAAAGGATCGTCCGCAATAAACAACGCTTTTAGCTTATGGGAAAAAATTATAACCTATAAAATAAGGCAAACTTAAAAATCCCGTTGGGAAGTAACTGTTAAAAAAATCTTGTCTAAATGTCGTGGGAGACTAAGGGTTAAACAATTATAATGTATAATAAGTTATAAAAACCTTAGATATGCTTGCTTTTATACTATATTCAGTACTGAATTTAATACTAAAAATGTTTTATCTACAAATTAGATGCGCGCGCCTATTCAGTACTAAAAATTAGAGCATGCTCTAATTTCTTGTACTAAAAATGATGAAATGTTTTCTAGTAATAATTCTTCATTCAACATATTTAATATTCCTTTGCATAAACGCTTTTTTTAAGAAGTGTGATTTTTTTAAGCATTATTATTATTATTATTAATAATACAGCACATGATTAGCTTTTTTTTTCACCATCAATATTTGCCTGTGTGTTTTGTTTACTCTAATCATAAAACAAATTTTATTATTAGATTATCAATGCAAAATTTTTGCAAACCCACATTTTTTTACACTAAATCTACTTATATATATATATATATATATATATATATATATATATATATATATATATATATATATTTAGTACTAAAATTAGCATAATGACAAGCGGACCTTACGATGATGACAAATTTGGCCGATATGTGACGTATATCACCTCCCGTCAGCTGCACAGAACGAATAGGCAACATACTGGTCATTCGTCTTCATGAACTCTTTCTATTCCCGCTCTTGATGTATCAATGTGTCCATTTAAATCACCTCCAATAAAACACTTTTCATCTACAGGCTTTTAATCTCAAGCATCTCACAATCAAGGGCCCTCCAAAATTCTTCCTTGTCCTGTTCTTCACACCCTACCTGGGCGGCGCAAGCACATATGATTTTCACGTTGGTATTGCCTGTATTCAGTTCGACACTCATTCTGTCCTGTCCATTGTCCAAAGACAGCTGACATGAATATTAAAAATATTTTAGAAAATTATGTTTTGCCATTTGCCGGCCATATTGGATATTACAGATTCGTGCTAATGCACGATAACGCACGTCCTCATGTTGGTAGAATCCTGTTACTATGACATTCAGAGAATTACGATTGCATAATAAGAGGAATGGAATGCAATTCCTCAAGCATATATCCAAAATTTAATTCATGGCATTCCAAGAGGGTTACAAGAAGTACTCAACGCTTGAGGAGGGACTACTCGTTATTAATTTTATTGTTTATCTAAACAAAACATTCAAATATGACGTCTTCGGTAATACTTCTTGTTTCAAGCTATTTTTTTTCATTCCAAAAGTTCAATGTTTCATTTTTTTAAATATTATATTTACTTAAAACGTGTTAAATAAAGTTTTTTTTAAGTGTTTTGGTACTATGAACTCATCATATTGAACATATTTACGATAATTTCAAAATATTCCATATTTTTATCCATGAGTGTATAATATAATATAACTATTAACCGCATTAATTTTTAGGCCACGAAGGTGCAGAGAATCCTCCCTGTGGTACAATACTGGACCATTCAATAACAAGGCGACAATTACCAGACTTTTTCCTAGTGCCACAAAGTGTTAGACAGGGTACCGTAAATCCTACGCATTATATTGTTCTTCACGATACATGTCAGCTAAAACCTGATCATATACAAAGACTGTGTTATAAACTCTGCCATTTGTATTACAACTGGCCTGGTACGATTAGAGTACCAGCTCCGTGTATGTACGCCCATAAATTAGCTTCATTAGTGGGACAGCACTTGAAGAAACTACCCAGCGCTGCATTGGCTGATAAATTGTTCTATCTGTAGACATATCGTTTGTTAGAAATTATGTACTCTATGGTACCTACTGCCAAAAGAGTAATTACGTTCAAATACTGTGTTGGAAACTCTTCCATTTTACAACTTGACTGGTACGATGAGAGTACTGGCTCTGTGTATGGCTATGTTCTGCGTTGGATGATTCATTGTGCTATCAGTTGTTATAAATTGTGTTTGTTTACTAAAAATGTACATTAGTTTTGTTTGCGTGTGAAATATATGTGGAGTTGTGAACTAAAATTTCGCCTGCGAAATTATATAGAGCCTTGCAAACTATCCTAATATCTATAGTCTTGTATCATAAACTTTATTAGCTCATATAATATGGCTTTTTCAGTATATTTAGAAGAAGATACATCGCCACGTATTAATGTGACAAAAAGCCACATGTGGATATAACTAAAAAGATAAATGGAAGACGTGAAAAGACATTTATTAAGTTTTGAGATATTGAGTGATTAGTTACCTTCTTGTAGCAACGTATAATCTAGGAAGCATTATTATAAGCTGTAGTGATGTCAATTATCATTAAAATAATTTATTCTCAAAATCCTGGTATATATAAAGAAAGAAACAATATTTTTTATTTTTAGTATTTGCCCAAGCTTCGTGTGAGTTTATTTTCATTTAAAATTATCTATAGATAAAAAAATCAAGCGATCTTTGATCTTCTTGATAGACCTGTCGGCCATCCTTCGCCTAGCAAGTTTTTCTGCCTGAATGTTGTTTTCTTGTATTTCGTATTCTGAATATCATAGAAATATTCGTTCGCATTATATCATATGTTTTGGTTTATGATTATTTTTAACAGCTTTTGTGACTGACGTGTATGTCAACGCACAAGAGACCTTTGGTCCTTAACAGTTTAGCTTATCTTATAATGAAGTTGTTTATAAGGAATCCGTTGTCCATTGAAAAAAAAACGGATGTCTACAAGATCTTTAAGACTTTGAATGCGTTTATCATCAGTGGAATCACAACTCGTTATGAGCATTCTTCAGAACAATCTTCATTCGCCCCTGTCTCTTTCAACTCTTTTCCATGCTCCAACTACAATAGATTTTAAATCATCCTCTAAGTTGTCTTCATACCTAAGTGTCGGTCTTCCTCTGGCTAATCATCCCATCGACCCCGTTTTAAAAACTTTTCTGACTGCGCCACAAACGTTGCTATTTTATTTCTCCATTTTTGGGGTTATTCTCTCGAAACGATTAAGCAGTTCTTGACCATTTTATTTAAGTGAACACGTTTCTGCACCATATGTTAGCATTGGTTTTAGGTCTACATTAGGACAGTATTTCTATCATACTTCATCATCTACTTTCCAATGATAACTGAATACCAAATAAACATTTGTTTTTTATTCCTAGATTATGTCAATTTCAGTCTTATAATAAAAAGTGCTTCTGTCGTTGTATAGATAATGGTGTAATCAACTTGATAACCTATACAAATTATTTGTACGTTTTATGTATTATGTAAGTACAAATTTAAAATTAATTTTTATGTATACAGTTGCGTAAAATTATTTCACAACTTAATTTTTGTTTAAAGCCGTAACTTGATTTAATTTTGTAATGCTACTTATATTACATATAATTTGATTGGAGTTGCGTATATTTCAGTATGGTCACTTGCCTATATTTCTTTTTGTTTTATAAGTCTTACAAAAAGTTAATTGTAAGGATAAGTTTATACTGATTTAATATAAATATGCCAAACAGTGCCCGTCTAGAGTCTCCTCCAGATTGTTCCTTGATCCATAATACGAAATTAATAACTTTTGAGTAACTGGACTGTTAGTTGTTATGAAGTTTCAGTGATTTAAAATAGCAAGCGTGCACCATTTTGTAACATAATTTTAAAGGGGATCATATGGCAATAATTACCACATTTGAAAGTCCATTTGAAGTCGTTTTCAACATTATCTATACAATTATCAAATACAGCCAGAAAAATCTCAAAATATGCATTTCGCAACAAGATTTTGATTATTGAATCCAGTTTCTGACCGATACAATTCAAATTAATAATTTTTCTATAACTGAACTGTTAATAGGTGTGATAACATATGAGATACTTTATTGTTAAAAATGGCAGAAGATTTTGTAATATTTTAAACGACATTATATAACAATTTAAAAAGTTACGAGTCCTTTTTATTGACACCCACATGATTTAAATGTTTTACACGGTTTCAGTTTTAACCCAAAAATGACAGACGGTATAACCGTCTGTCAATATAAGTCGATTGGTATAACTTACCTAATTATATAAAGTTCAGTTATCCAAAATGTTATTAAAAATGTAGTGCGCAGAAAATATGTTGCAACAATATTGTTTTATACAGATGATATTTGAAACCAACATTTTCAACTTTTTCGGGTGAATCTCATTATCATCACTGCCGCGCATAGATTTCCTCAAGAAACTTCAATTCCGATCTATTCTGCATGTTGTAATCTAATTGGTATACATTCTATTAATTGCTCTTGGATTCTAAAAATCTGGTCCGCCTATTATATCAACTTTGCAAATTTCTTGGTTGATCACTTTGTCTCGCAAAGTTATGACATGTTCATAGTGTGCCATGTTCATGTTTTCCATGGATTGCACCATTTGGACGAATTTTAGTAACGTCGCTCTTTTTGTGATAGTAAAGAACTCATAGTACAAATGACTGGTTTGTGTCAGGTGCGAGGAATTGCATTGCTGATATAATTTTTGCACTGAGCTGCTATTTGTCCGGATTCAAAAATATTGTTCCATCTAGCACTGTTAAAGCGGGGAGAAGTTTAGCGTCGTGTATCAGTTGTAGTTGGCCATGATCCGCCCACAGCTCCAATCGTCTACAATTGTCATCAGTCTCTCTGTACCACCATGCAATACTTTGACAATTAAAATCACCAAGGATAAAGTTGGTGTTACGATAGTTAAAATCGTCATGATCAGTAAAAATTAAATCATTCCCAGGTGGTTTGTATAAAGAAGTCACGGAGAAGCTTGGTGTACAGTATTAATTTCTATGTTGTTGATTTCTATGATAGCAGATGATGATATCTTTAACCCAAGTCGGGCAAATATAGCACTTCCATATTTATCATGGTCTTGTAGTGATTAGATTCACACCGAATATCCTAGGTTTGGGGAATTCAGCACTCTGTCTTTTCTATACTAGAAGCACATCACATTTGTGTTTAGCATATAGTAAAATGTCTATATCTCAATATTTATTGACTTCGTTAGAATAGTTTTCAGTTACTGAAAAGGGTGGATTTGATAAAACCATGTTGAACTGGTGATTAAAGGATCAACCGATTAATTAATTAATCGTTACCCAGGATACGCCCGATTGCTGTGGTCTCATTGATACTGCACTCGTCTGGAGGCTCCTTTGTACCCTGTCAAATTATTCCAATGTAAAGGGATCTTATTATTGCTTATCATATGGTCCATTTTAAGTTGTTTTAAAAATGAGTCAGCTACCTTAGTTCAGTTACGTGAACTTTATTACTCAAGTTTTATGATTAAAAAAATGTGCTGCGGCAATACTGATAAAATTCGAATTGAATATTTCCAGGTTTTTTGGTCGAGACTTAATTGTGTTGGTGCTATTTAAAGGTAGTTAAATTGAGCTTTCAAGTGGGGTATTATTGCAGAAGTTTATAAGTAAAATCCCTAGGTATTTAACGATTATTGATTGTTCTTATGTACTTAGCGACTAGCATTAAAAAATTAAAAGTCTGTTATTAGAATATTATATCTTGACTTCTACACTTTAAAATTCTGACAAAATTGCAGTCGCTTGTCTATTTTAATGACGTCACTTTACCTTCATTTAGGTTCAGTTTCATAAAAATTATTAGAATAGTTTTGTTTATAAAATATCTTAATGGAATATCCCTATGCGGATAATGGAAAATACACCGCAAAACATGTTGCGTTGTATTGGAAATAATAAAATTTAACAACGTGTTGCGAAAATGAGTGCAATTGGGATTATTGATTGATATAATAAATAATATAAAAAAATAATTTTTTAATTTAATTTCTTTCGAAAAAATATTGCAGAAGAAACATGAGGTGTTATTATTTCGCCAAAAGGATAATGTATATTTTAGTTATATTATCTTATCATAACGATGGTGAATGCAAGAGAAGGTTTCCAAGTTGCACTCCTGCTATACGCCACGTGGTTTTTCGAAAGCTATTAACATCGCAGTAGACTTTAACTCAAGATGACGGCGATATTTCTATCGTACTTCTACCTACTATAGTGTTAGTGTACCTGCTACAGGATAGGTATAAAGCATAGACATATAATACAACATAGACTGACTGCTGCAATAGAGTCGCATTCCCCCAGTGCGACAGAGAAAACTGACGCAAAGCAGTCCCTGCATCTCTGTCTAAATGGGCCGGGTTTATTGACCAGGTGACCTTCTTATTGGTCAGTTAGATCACGTGGTGGTTAAACCTGGCAAACTAGAAAGTGATGCAGATACTGCTTTGCGTCATTTTTCTCTGCCATACTGGGAGAACTGGCTGGTACTGCAACGATCAGTCTGTCTTTTGTATTATATGTCTATGGTATAAAGTCCCACTAACATAACCTGTCGTTTTGAAAATGTGTTTTTTTTTTTAATTTTTCTATCCAAATCTCAACCTACCACAAACATATTTTTTTAAAAGTACCAAAATGCAATTTTGAAAACGTCTTACCAAATTTTATTACCCATAAAATTATCTGTCATATTTATTTCATTGAATATTAATATATATTAAAATTAATTTCAAATTGGTTTAAAAATATTTTTGTAACAAAAAAAATCCACTTAAAAAATTCAAGTATTAATAAAGAACTACTATTTGTGTTAAATTTTTTGTTGACATTGTAATAATTTACAAAAAATTTCATGCAAATCACATCGTTACGTGTTCAATATTTGTGGAATAAACTTGATTTCATGTAATCAAATGCACTATTACTAAATAAAGTGGTTTTGCAAACGATTTTCAAAGGTGACGACAAAGACTTTTTAAAGTCTTTCATCTTAAAATTACTTAGTCACGTTTAAAATTTCTTCTTTGTGTGTAGATATGACTTTGTCCGTTTTTCAATGTGCCTCCAGTAACTTGTCGTTCGATCGTTTTCGTGGTCTTCCTATTAGGGAACTATCACTCGCTGTCTTTACTACTCTATTTGTTGTCATTTAACTTGTATGATTATTCCATTCTACTCTTGTAGTTCTTACCCAGTCCTTGATGTTCTCCACTTGCATCTTCGTAAGTACATCTAGCTCTGTCCCATAGTATCTTACCATCAATTTTTCATATTGTTTTATTATGGTAACCTGCGGTTCTATTCACTTGATCTTCCACTTTTGTTTCGAGCTTTACGTAGCTTGATAGTGTGATGCCTAAATATTTAAACTTCATCAGTTGTTTTATTATATGATCTTCCAACTCCAATTTACACCTTTTCTCCCATTTGTTATCTTTTTTAAAGTTCTTTGTTTATTATTTCATCCATGATCGTGTTAGGCAGTAAAGACTCGGAAAGTCTCCCTGTCTTATTCCGTTGGTAGGTTCAATTGGGTCAGTTAGTTCTTCTACTTTTACTTTTATTGTGTTGTTTAAAATTTGTAGAACAATATCCCACCTGTCAATATAGTGGAAACAGTTTAGGTAAATGTGAATGTGTTTTTTCCATTCAATAGAATAGTTTGTTTATTTTAAAAGCACAAGCACATTGACGAAACTGTATGAGGTTTATTAATTAAAACAGTTTTTACTTTTAAGAAATTCTTTCAAAAATTTTATGCAAAAGACTATGTTAATATTAAAAGAAATCTTTATGTTATCGAAATACTATGTTTATACTGTCTTATCATAGACAACTTTATGCTAACATACTGCCAAAAGACACCGAGCAGTCGAAAAATTACTGATCATAGGTTAAGGAATTGAAACGAGTGGTGTATGGTCCTTGTAAAATCTCGTTCTAATTAACAATATCCTTCAGCTCGTTTCGATTTATAATACATCTCCTCAAGTTGCCGACACCAGGCAGGATTAAATATTTTTTCAGGTCGTTTGGTTATCTCCTTGGTCCTTCAGGTGATCATTGCCTTTTTGCATTTTACCGTAAGGTCTCTTTCGCCATTCTAGTGTAAGCTCTTTCTTCGACTCTTTTTCAATCCTCACCGAAAATATGGTATTAATTTTTTTCTTCTCCGAAAATTTGATATAAATTTACAAATTTATGATAACATTAGGGAGAATTTCAGTATAACATACGACTCATAACAAAGTAATGAAAGTATGTTTAAATGTTTTGAGATGAAAGTGATCGTTAATGACAATGGTATACAACGGAAACAATACAACTTCGAACTGCATAAAATATGACAGGAAGAGAGATGCCGTCAAACACGGACTTACTTTATTGCAGCGCCCTCTATATAGTGGTAATACTAACTAAAATATTTAACTAATAGTTATTTTCTTTAATCCCAAATTTTTAAATAAATAAATATCATATTTTCGGACATAGGGTGAAGTATCAATTAGCAGTTGATAGTTTTGTTTTTGCTTTATTGAATACATTTTTTTAATGGTTATTTACATTTTTTCTTCAAAGTCCAAACTAAATTGGGATTTCAACCCCTATCTCCTACTACTACAAGGAAGAATTCTGTTCTGTGAAAGGAAGAATTTTTTATTTTTCTTAGTAAAAGTTTTGAAAAATTTGTCAGAAACATTCATTAATAATTTCTGGGGTAAAATATTATTCTTAAACTTTTTTCTCTTAAATAAAATATCATTCTTTAGAAAATTTTTAAGGTTCCAAGAATAAGTAATTAATTTTTAGAATTAAATAGGTTTTTTATTTCTCGATTGCTCTGTATTTATAATTATAATTTATGGAGAGAATTATTTACATTATTCAAAACGGAAGATTATGTGATTTTTAAAGAACATTTTGGGGTGTATCGATGTCTGTTAGAGAAACATTTACTAGTATATTATTTAACGAGCTGTAATGTAGGTCATAACTCACGCAGATGAAATTCATGAGGTGAGTTATGACCGTCATCGCAAGTTAAATACTATAATTTACCTACGAGTATAGTAATC